TTTTTTAAGGAAAAATGTGCTTAAATATTTAATAAGATAAATAACATAGGCCACCGCCCACCCCCGAGCCAGGTAAGCTACAATTGAACTATAAGATGCACCCTTTGTTTCCTCCCAAATTGGGCTGAAAGTGCATCTTATAGTCTGAAAAATATGATATTTTCTTTGGGGGAGTGGGCAGGTATCTCGTCTCAGAATTTCTGGAATTGCTTCTTGGTGCCGCCAGCCTTGGTGACTGTGAGCATGTTGAAGTGCACGGTCTTGCTCAGGGGCCGGCACTTGCCCACTGTGACAGTGTCACCGATCTGGACATCTCTGAAGTGGGGCAGGTGAACTGACATGTTCTCGTGGTGCTTCTCAAAGCAGTTTAACTTTCGGATATAGTGGAGGTAGTCTCGGCAGATGACAGTGGTCCTCTGCATTTTCGTCTTAGTCACCATGCCAGACTAGATGCACCCTCAGAATGACATTACCAGTAAAGGGGCGTTTCTTGTCAGTGTAGGTGACCTCGATGACCTCCCTGTGTGTCTTGAAACCCAGACTGGTGTTCTCGTAGTATCATAGTAGCTTCTCTGCCAGTTTCTCCAAGCAGGACCCTCTTCTTATTTTGAAAGGTGGTGGGCTGCTTAGACACGCACAGTCTGAATATCCACCATCTTCATGGCCACTTGCAAAAAAGAAGCAAGAAAAGAGGTCTTAAAAGTTCTCATGACAAGAAAAGAAATTGGAACCATGTGATGATGGATGTTAATCAAGACTTATGGGGAGATCATTTCACAATATATACAAATGTCAAATCATGTTGCTCTCCTGAAACTGGTATAATGTTATATGTCAATTTTATCTTAATGTGTTTAAAAAAAGATTTTGTTTGCTTATTTTAAGAGAGAGGGGAAGGGTAGGAGGAAGAGAGGGAGAGAAACATTGATGTGAGAAATATTGATTGGTTGCCTCTTGCATGTGCCCCATCTGGGGGCTGGGCCCACAACCCAGGCATGTGCCCTGACTGGGAATCAAACCAGTGACCTTTTTGCTTCATGGGACAATGCCCAACCATGTCACACTAGTCAGGGCAATTAAAAAAAAGGAATCGCTCTGCTATAGAATTTGCTGATTTATTATGTTAATTTTTATTCTCTGTCACATGCAAGAATATTGACTTCAGAAAGGCAGAGGTGGGTTGTTTTTATTTTTATTTTTATTTTTATTTTACTGATAGAAAACTTGCCTAGATCAGTGCTTGGCACATAGTAAGTGATCAATGAAGACATGGTAAATTGGATGGCATTACCATTGTATTTAAAATAATCGGGCAACCCAAGTCAAGCTGACATGAGGTACAGAGGCCAGCCTCCTTGCTTCACGGAGCACCAACTCCATGGCACAACTCATGCCCCAGTGCTCAGGGGGATCAGCCCGACCCTGTTCTCCAGCCCAGACACATCCTTGTTTAGTGTGCTCCACTGCCTCCTCCTTTCCTCACTAGTTTTCCCTGAGAGCACTTCCCCACATGTCACATGGACAGGGCTGTTTCTGGGGACCCCACCCTGGGACAGGCTTCTCTCGGGGGCAGCAGAGAAGTGGCCACAGCTCTGGTGTTCATGACACAACGTGTCTTGAGACCCTCCCTGCCCCAGCCAGCAGCCGAGGAAGCCAGAGGTCAGCTGAACTGCAACCAGAAAGTTGGTGGGATGCCCTGGCTGGTGTAGCTCAGCGGATTGAGTGCTGACCTGTGTACCCAAAGGTTGCCAGTTTGATTCCCAGCCAGGACACATGCCTGGGTTGTAGGCTGGGTCTCCAGTTGGGAGCGTGTGAGAGGCAACTGATTGTTGTCTCTCTCACACATTGATGTTTCTCTCCCTCTCTTTCTTCCTTTCCTTCTCTCCAAAAATAAATAAGTAAATAAATAAAATAATAAAATGATAGAATTTCTGTTTTAATTTACAAAATAAATTATTATTATAGTAAAAATATTTGCATCTAACATTGTTTCAGTGCTTAGCCCCACACTAGGGATTTCATGTATTTCATGTGGCTTATGTCACTGAATTCTTATTATAGCTACATTTGTGTGTGTGTAATTCCCATCTCATAGATGAGGGGATGGGTGTGGAGAAGGCTGAGTGGCCTGACCAAGGACACAAACCAGCTTAGTGGTAGAGCCAGATTTTGGACCCAGTGCATCTGACCATTAGAGCCTAGCAAGTTATTCTGCTTTCTCAGTTTTTGGTTAGCTTTGCATTTCAGGTTAAATCTGTCCTTTGCTCACCTGCTCATGGGGGGTTAGAGGTAATGATTTTTTTTTACAAAAAAAGAAATTTTATGCTTAATTCTTAGTTGTCTTGGCAAATATGGTAACATAAGGATCAAGTTTTATTTAAAACCTTTATTCATTTAAATTTAGAGCTTAGATTTCAGTAACTTAAAAAATTATCCAAAAATACTGAATTGAAATACATTTTTTTAAAGATTTTATTTATTTATTTTTAGAGAGGGAATGGAGGGAGAAAGAGAGAGAGAGAGAGAGAGAGAAACATCAATGTGTGGTTGCTGGGGGCCGTGGCCTGAAACCCAAGTATGTGGCCTGACTGGGAATCGAACCTGCGACACTTTGGTTCGCAGCCCGTGCTCAATCCACTGAGCTACGCCAGCCAGGGCTGAAATACATTCTTAGAATTGCAGTTTGATAGTTGTAAAAGAAGAGACCACCTGCTACTTTTGGACTGTTCTCATTCTAGCCTGTATTGTGTGGGTTTACTCTCTTTGGTGTTTATTTGCACTTGCAGTTTCTGAGTAGAGAGAGTGAGTATGAAATAAAATTACTTTCTGGAAACTAAGGCACAAGTGAGCAACGAAAACTCATTTTATTTTCCCCAGGTTTGCTGTCGTTAAGGTGATAGTGTTGCCTAGGATTTAATTATTTTAAGAAGCCAGGATAGAGGTGATGATAATAACAAATCCTTAACTGTTTCTTGTGTGCCAGGCGCTTTGCTTAAACCTTTAGGTGCATTATCTCATTTACTCTTAAAAGAATTTCTTGAGGTAGGTACTATTTACAGTTAGAAACAAACAAAAAAACAATAAGTGCCTGAGAGGGAGTATGAACATGCCTGCCTACCCCTATCTTCATGAAGAACCTACAGATCATTGAATGATGTAGCTGAAATAAGAGATATTGATACATTTTTATTTGCCTTTTATACTCTTTCCAAGTCTTTTACATTATGTGTTAGATTGAGGGACTTTCATGAATGCCTTCTACATTAAGTTGAGAGCAGTGCTTTTCAATCTACATTGTACTTTGCAATCACTTGGAAACTAACAAAGAAAATGGGGACAGACTCATAGATGGAGAGCAGGATGACAGCTAGTGGGGAGATTACGGGGTGGAGGGATTGAGGAAAAAGGACTCATGGAGATAGACAACAGTGTGGGGATTGCTGGGGGAGGGAATATAGGGTGATAAATGGTAATGGAAAAAAATGCAATATGATTAAATTACAAAAAAAGAAAGGAAGAAATATGATTGTCTGAGTCCTTCCTGGACATTAGGATTTTTAAAAGTTCTTTTGTAATTTCAGTGTCTAACTAGAGTTGAAAACCTGTGGTTTCCACACTTTCTTGCACGTCGGAATCTCCGAGGAGCTTAAAAAACCGATGCCTGTGCTCCTCTCCAGATATGGTGATTTAATCCTTCTGCTCTGCAGCCTGGCGTCTGGAAGGTTTAAGATTCCCAGGTGATTCCAATATGCAGACAGGTTTGTGGACCTGTAGTTTATGCAGTGTTTTCAACCTTGGCTGCATGTTGGAATCACCTGAGGAAAATTTAAAGCTCTCATACCCCAGGTTTCACCCACTCCAATTAAACAGAATCTTTGGCCGTGTGCCTTGGTGGCAGGAGTTTTTGACACTCTCAAGGTGATTCCAGTATGAAACCAAAGGTGAGAGCTGCAGGTTTCTTCCTTTTCTCTCTTCTTTACTTTTGGATCAAGTATGTTTAGTTTCTCAGTTCAGAACACTGCTTTACAAATGAAGGGGGAAGTGAGTGAATGGTCTAGACAAGGCTTTTTATTATGTAGATACACGGGGTGTAGATATGTAAATCCCCCCAACTGGGAATTATCTTCTGGAGGTAGCCCCCTTGTAGTACAGGCTTCCCCCACTAGGTGAGTGTTCTAGGAACCCATCTGTACCAGTGTACCAGCTGGCATTGTTGTGATAGACTGTGTTCGGCTACAGGGAATTTTTTTTTTGAAGACTTGTTTAATGCATATGCCCATTTCATGATGGGTGATTTTTGAGTGCACCTGCCCATACTTCACTGAGTGTTCAGCAGTTTTTGACCAAAAATGGCACGACCTCTATGTCCCACCCTCCCTGTTCACCCAATATTGCCCCAGTCGACTTTCTTTTCTGTTTCCCTGGATGAAAAAATCCTTAAAGGGAAATGTGTTGCTGATGTGAAAGAGGTGAAACAAAAAACAGCAGAAACACTAAAAGGCATCAAACTTGACAAACTCAAACTGTTTTGAGCAGTGGAAAAATGTCTCAATAGGTGTATTGCATCAAGGGGAGAGGACTTTGAAGGTAATTGAAGTTTAAACATGTAAGAATAAATACACAATTTTTAAAATAAATTCTGGGTGTTTTGGGGGTCTGCCCTCATATATTGAGTTCATTTAGACCAACATGAAAGAATGCAGAGCTAAGCAAATTGTGTTTCAAACTATTAGCAAATAAAGTGAGTTTTGCCTGCTTGTATTGATGCAGTGTAATTAGTACTAAAACCAAGAATGCTGACTGGTTTTTCTGTTTGAGTAATTCTAGATTTGTTTTCCCCTCTGGCCCTCATTTTTTATTTTCTGGCTGGCATCAAATATAAATTTGCCCTCTAAAATCAAGGAACCGTTAGAAGAATGTAAAAATTTTAATTAAGAAAAGTAAAAGGAGTTATCCTCTATCCATGCCTTATTGAGCTTGATTGTTTTCACTGTTTCCAGGAGTGCCAGGTGTCAAAGAAGAGCGCTTTAAAGAAGGAATGACAGTAAAGCACTGTGCATTGTCCCTTGTGGGAGAACCCATCATGTACCCAGAAATTAACAGGTTTTTGAAGCTACTCCACGAGTGCAAAATCTCCAGTTTCCTGGTTACAAACGCACAATTCCCTATGGAAATCAGGTGAGTGGTGCAGTTTATGAGGATATGCTGCTTGAATCTGTGGACACAGACACTTGGGTTGTTTCCATGTCTTGGCTGTTGTGACTAATGCTGCATTCTCTTGAAGATGCTGACTTCATTTCCTTCAGGTAAACACCCAGAAGTGGGATTGCTGTGTCATACGGTAGTTCTATTTTTAATTTTTTGAGGATTTTGTAGATTTTGGATTTGATTTGCAGGTATTTTTTCCATTCTGTACGTTTCCTTTTCATTTTGTCAATCGTTTCTTTTGCTGTGCAGAGGTTTTTTAGTTTGATGTACTCCCATTTGTTTTTTGCTTTTGTTGTATGTACTTTTTGTATCATGTCAAAAAAATTGTGGCCAAGACCAAAATGTCGAGGAGCTTTTCCCTATGTTTTCTTCTAGGAGTTTTACAGTTTCAGGTCTTATATTTAAGTTTTTAATTCATTTTGAGTTAATTTTGGTGAGTGGTGTAATATAAGGGTCTGATTTCATTTTTTACATGTGAATATTCAGTTGTCCCAGCATCATTTATGGAAGAGACTACTGTCCTTTCCACACTGAGAATTCTTCCCTCCCTTGTCAAATATGAGTTGACCATATATGCATGGGCTTATTTTTTGGACTGTTGATTTTGTTCCATTGACATATATAAATATTTTTCAAATGATAGTACCTTACTGTTGTATTTTGAATAGTATAACTTTGTAGTATAGTTTGAAATCAGAAAGTATGTGCCTCCAGCTTTGTTCTTTCTCAGGATTGCTTTGGCTAATCAGCATCTTTTACAGTTCCATAGAATTTTAAGATTGTTCTGTTTCTGTAAAAAGTGCCATTGGATAGGGATTGCATTGAATCTATGGATGACTTGGGGTATAATGGATATTTTAATAACAATTTTTCTGATCTATGAATATGGGATATCTTTCTGTCTGTTTGTGTCTTCAGTTTCTTTCATCAGTGTTGAGAAGTTCTTGAAACTAAAATGATGATGCACTTTCCAGGCCCCATCCTTGGAGGCTGATTCAGTCTTGAGAAAGGCCTAAGAACCTACATTTCCATTTGCTTTTCATGCGGATAGTCCTGGCCACACTTAGAGGAATACTGCTGTAAGGCTTGAAATATTGTTCTTGAGTTCCTGTGACAAGAGGCCCAGGTTGCACTGCCTGCAAATTGGCCACTTTGATGGAGGCATTGCGTCACCAGGCTAGGAGAACAGGCTTTGGAGTCATTTCTTGGCTTGAATCTCACTGTTGAGATTGTTAAGTAGAAGATTGTTCATGTATGTCTTTATGGATCCTTGAACAAGTTCCTTAACCTCTTAGAAGCTTGGTTTTATCATCTCTAAAAAGGGCATATGTAGCAACTACCTTGTTTTATTATGAGGATTCAGTGAACTGAACAAAGGAAGGTGAAACAGCGCAGTGCACTCAGTACATGACGTGCACTAAGTGAATGGTAAATAGTTTTCTCCTCCTCCTTCATTCTCCTTCACTTTTCCTCCTAAATTATTTGGCCTGTGTGACAGCCCCAGATTGTCTCAGTTTCTGGTTCTAATTGTATTGGAAGGTTGGGCCACTTTGGTTATTTATTTATTTATTTATTTAGTTCAATAGGATCCTCAGACTTACTATTTAATCTACTTGATTTCTTACAAACATAAATCCCTCTCCCCTTTTGTCTTAAGGTAGAGATTAGTAGGCCTACATCCTTACAGAAAGGAAAAAAATGAGAGGGATTTTTATGTTCATTTGCAATGCATTTCCATATATAATCATTTTCAACTTGGATTTAAAATTAGCAGGATGAAAGGGCATCACAATAATATCAGAGTTCTCTGGGCATTTTCACTGGATGTTTAGCTTAGATTGTTTACTCCTTCATGGCATAGTCCTTTTCATTTGTTCTCAGCAGCAATGAGAGGTTCTCAGGTACAGGAAGTGTTGTGATGCTTTGCAGGATAAAACATTGTCTTGCTTTGGGGTAACTAAAATGATGCTGTACAGGATAGAGAAATGACCAACGGGCAGCTAATTGCCTGTCCTGGGGAATAGAGGCGCATACCAGGAAGACATTAGACCCCTGAGCTCAGAAAATTTCTCCAAGGTTCTTTACTGCTGTTGAATGAGCTCTATAATTCCTTGGGGCGTTTCCCCTTCTCCATCCTTTTTCTGTTCCCTGCAAGAGATCAGTAGACTCCTTAATTATAGCACCTCAGGCATTTAGTATTGACAAAAATTTCTTATTGGCTTCCTTTTTTGCAAATGATGGAGGTTTGTAAAATAACCATGGCCTTTGGAATTTACTGTTCATGATCTTAAGTAGTTACAGAGGCATAGTGAGAAGGTCAGGCCAGTTCCCATTTTCTATCCAGCAGCTTTATGACAAAGTCCTGTAAGTGTCCGATGGTGATAGCCAGTAGTATCCGTTAAGGCAATCTTTATTTTTATTTTTTGTGGGACATAAAGTCCTGTTGAGGTATCAAAGCTTATTTGTTGTTAAAGAGGCTCCCAGCACAGTAGGGCAGAGGCAGAATGCTGCCATTACAATCTGCTGTGGTTTTCCATTTTTAGGAATTGATGTCCTTTGCTCAGAGGTGACACATTGCTGAACTTCTAAGGGTTCCCTTTGTATCTCAGAGTCAGAGAGGGATTAAAGCAATGAAGAATCTGCCAGTATTTCATCATGTCTTAACTTTGGTCAGAGCTTCTGCACTTTTAATAACTTTGGTTTTAGACCCTTAGGATTTTTCCATATGTCACTAAGACAGATCATTACAATAATTTGTTTGCCCTACATGCCATTAAAAGTTCTGCCATCTAAAGTCAACGTTATCAACTAAAAAGTAGCTTTCAGTGTATGCCTGTATGACTGGATAAAAAGAAAAAATGTGGTGCCTGTCCTTTAACATCTTACACTCAAAGATTGATAAGACTGATACTGACAGACATAAAAAGCCCATAAACCATTTTGATGGTGAATTTTTTGGCATGTGAGTTACATCTCAGTTTTTAAAAATGCATAGACTTTGAAACAAAAAAATTCATAAATAAAATTCTAGGGGTAAATAAAATAGTGAAATAGTTAAAGAAAATGAATAGTGGGAGGATTTGGTTAGAGAATATTAAGGGGGAATTTCCTTCTTTCTACATCTAAATGTATTGAAAAGAATGAATTATGAGACCCATTTGAAGGGAGAACAGAGAGGCTTTGGGAAAAGTACAATCTGGGCTTAAAACTGGCAAGAAATCTAGTAGATAAGAATGACATTATGAAATGAGTCAGTGAATTTGAGAGAAGTGGGAAATGAGTGGTGTTTAAGAAGGCAACCGATTAAGAAGACAAAGAAAAATAAGAATCTGCAACATGCATTTTTCTTCTGGGTTGTGGTCCTTTGTAAGTGCTGGGTTGCTGCTGTTCCAGCTCTGCATTGCCTAAAGCTTGTTGAATAGAGCATTGTTTGCCCACCACGCTTGGCTTTGAGCCCACTGCTCTCAGAGGCATAGGTGAGGCACTGGTGTGGCTTTGTGCCCTTCAAAGAAGGCTTGTGCTTTCTGGGTTGTTTCTTGTTGCCTTAGAAAATGTCCATCAGTGAATTGATGATGGGAGGTGGCCCATCAGCAGAGACCCCACCTGGCTGTGAAATTTCAGCTGTGTAAGTCTTGAGTGGCTGCATTTATGGGGAAACTTAGGTCTGAGACCCCCCCTCCCCAGTTGTGCTGGACTGATGGTGCCAGACCTGAAGCTAGATCTTGTTTATTATTTTCTACTAACACCTAGTATTTGAAGAGGGAACAATTTTAAGTAATTATTAGGGATGGTGCTTGGTCGTTTTTTAAAATAGTCAGCTGACACCCCACTGTCACATTATTGAAACCACTGTGTCAGCCTTCTGGGAGAAGCAGAAGCCCCTAGACCCAGTGAAATGTTTAATCACCAACCTGTTACAGATTGTAAGTTTTGCATCATGAAAAGCCTGAAATGGGCATAATATTATTTTTTTATTATTGTGATTGTTTTCAATTTTAAATCACCAAGGAATCTCACACCAGTCACCCAGCTATATGTCAGTGTGGATGCTAGCACCAGAGACAGCCTGAAGAAAATTGACCGCCCACTCTTCAAGGATTTCTGGCCAAGATTTCTCGACAGTTTAAAAGCCTTGGCAGCAAAGGTAAGAATTATGACATCTTTAAAAGAAAATAAAATGAAGTGGAAGGCCCCCCCTTTGTTTAAAAAAATAAGACTAAATAAAATCTTTAATTTTTATTGTTTAATAAATATTTGTTGAGTTCTTTTTAAATTTGTAGCTCTCTGCCACTGTGTATAGCCATTACAATATGCTATTTTGTATTTTTAGTAATTGATGTCCTTTCCATGTATATATTCCTTCATGTATTTGGGGAGAGAGTAGCAGTTCATAATAACCCTAGAAGAGGTGTCAGCGTATAGTATATGTTTAAATAAGAAGTTAATTTTCCTGAATTTCTAGAACCAAATTTCCTACATGATAAGGAACTCAACCTCAGAAAGTCCAAATCTGATGTCTTTTCCTGCAGACATTTGGCTCATATGTGTTCTCTTATGGCATACTTACTTTCCTATTCTTTTAGACTGACAGTACCTTTGTGGTTCTTCTTTTCTGTTAACCTCACATCTTGGTAGTTGGTGTTTTCTGTTAGATCTATGTCTCTTTTTCTCTTGTAGCCATTCCCCCTTTTCTGTTCTCTTTGGTTCTGCCTTCCAGTTCTTCACGCTGTATCTAGATCTGACTGAAAATGAGAATTCAGTACAGGAGCTTAAAGTATTAAAATTTCCTATTTCTACAGGGATTTGAAAATCTGCATTTGAAACAGCTCAGGTGACTTGAGTGGTGCTGGTTATGGAAGTCACTGAGCCAGCAAACCTGCCTTTCGCTGCTTTGCCAGGAATTAAGGCTGGCATTTCTTACCTCTGGCCCTAGTGCACATTTCCAGTCACTGCTCAGGATATTCCCTGGGAATGCTGGACTACCCTGCCTGTGTTGCCATTTCTGTAAATGTGCCCAGCACTTTTTCTGAGTCTTTTGTTACCTCTTCGGAGCCTAGAATGTCCTTTCCTTCCATGTTTGCAACTTGTAGAAATTCTATGCAACCTTCCAGGCTCAGCTTCATTACTACCTCTACCTTGAAGCCTTTCCCAGTTGCAGTTAGCTGCCCTTTTTCCCTTTTGCTAAGTTTTATAATGGTAAAAAAGACTTTATTTCTTCTGTTTTATCCTAGCTTCTTTCCCCAGCCAGATTCCTTACTCATGTCTGACTTCCACATGATGTCTAGCACAGCACATTTTATGGTATTTGATAAATGTTTTTTTTTTTTTTTTAAGTGAATGAATTTGTGGAAACTCACCAGAGCTGATGAAATTTTTAAAAAATTTTATCCTGGAGAACTTAAATCAATGCCATTTTTGGCAGTTAGCACCAACATTATATAAGAATACAAAATAGGCATTACTTTGGTTTCTGATCTGTTTTAGGTTATTTATAAAGCTGGTAGGTTCAGTGCTTCTTGGATTTCTAAAATCTCCTTGTTTCTGGACTTCACCTTCAGCCCTATTCCTTTCACTTGTTGCTGAGACAGCAAGTAGGTACATGGTATAAAAATCAGAATGGATTTAGATGGGAATAAACAGCAGGAGCAGGAATATCAGACATATCTGAGACTGTTACAGAACAAACAAGCGGGGGGGGGGCTGGGATGATATACTATTATTGAAAGAAGGCCCCGGGTCTGTTATGTCTGCTGCCCTAGGAAAGACGTCTCTCAATGCCAGAGATTCGTGAAAAGGAAAGGAAATGTTTATTTAATGCTATACAAACTTAAAGTAGTGACCTAATGTCTTTATCAAAAATCCTAAAGTCCCAAGCCCTGGCTGGCGTAGCTCAGTGGATTGAGCGCGGGCTGGGAACCAAAGTGTCCCAGGTTCGATTCCCGGCCAGGGTACATTCCTGGGTTGCAGGCCATAACCCCCAGCAACCGCACATTGATGTCTCTCTCTCTCTCTCTCTCTCTCTCTCTCTCTCTCTCTCTCTCTCTCTCTCTCTCTCTCTCTCTCCCTCTTCCCTCCCTAAAAATAAATAAATAATAAAATCTTTTAAAAAAATCCTAAAGTCCCTAAAAACACCCACAAACACACACAGTCCTTCCTTCCTTCCCTCTTTGCCCAGTCCAGAGTACCGTATCTCAGGAAAGGAAATAGAAGTCCATGGCTCAGGCAGTCCTCTGGTTCTTAGTTAGTACTCCATCTCTACTGGGAGACCTCCCTGGGTTCCCGGCACCCTCAGCTGAGTCACCAGGATCTCTGCTAAAACCAGGTAGTGATTCCCCCTTCTAAAGCTGTGGGGGTCCCCACTCTGGCACAGGCACGTGGTCCTCTCTCCCAGGGCCACGGGAGTCCCCACTCTGCCAGGCCACGTGGTTCTCTCTCTCAGGGCTGCAGGAGTCTCCACTCTGTCAAGGCCGTGTGGTTCTTCCTCTCTGGGATGCGGGAGTCTCCACCCTGCTAAAGACGCGTGGTTCTCCCCCAATGGCTGCCGTGTCTGGGTTTAAATCCCCCGCGCCAATCTTCTTCTGCAGCCCCATTTCCGACTCCTCCTACACTTGGGCACACTTGCCCTCAATCTGCTGTCTTCTCCAGCTTTTCTGGTCACCATCATGGGTCTGGGCAGGTGTCACCCCATGTCCTGGAGCCAATCTTCTCCCAGCTCCCACGCAGGCGCTGTAACTCAGGGGACCTGCCTCCCAGGTTCCATCTTGGTGGGGAGGTCCCTTTCCATCCCCCTGGCCTTGAGCATGGCCATAGCTATTTATCATATCTAAGTGACCAGCCAAAGGCTATAGGTATGCTAAATGACCATGCCATGGATTAGCTGCAAAGCTGCCCTGCATGTTCTTGCTCTCTGTGCCCCTTCCCCCAACTCACACCTGTAGGGGAAGGGGTGAAGGCACCTTAAAATCTCCTGGACACCTTGAGTTCTGGACCCCATTTCAAATGCCTATTTGGGATCCCCCCTCTTGGCTGCACCCTGTAACAAGACTGTTACCTGACTGTACTCTGAGTCAGCGTGGAAGGTGAGAAGTGTGCATTAGCAGAATGGCTTAATAGCTTGCTTTTTCTCTTTTGGCCAAATTTTCCATAAAGTGAATTATCTTGAGGTTACAAGGCTTTGCATGTTCATTTCTATTGTAAGTACTATGGGTTGACTCACTGATAGTAATGCAGAATTTAAAGTTCTGTAGTATTTTCTAATCTGTGAGCTTATTACACATAATATCATTATTGTGCCCATGTAACTTGGGCTATTTAAACTATCTGCCTGCAGCCTTGGCTGGTGTGGCTCAGTTGGTTGGAGCTTTGTCCCATACACCAAAAGGTTAGGGGTTCGATTCCTGGTCTGGGCACACATGTAGGCTGTGGGTTCAATCCCCAGTGCAAGCACATATTGGGGGAACTAACTGATGTTTCTTTCTCACGTTGATGTTTCTCTCTTTTCCATTCTTTCTCTTTAAGATCAATAAACATTAAAAAAAAAAAGCAAAAACCCTATCTGCCTACAGATTAGGGCAAGTGCTTTTTAAACATTTTGCAGCAATTACAGTTTATGTTTCTCATTCTTTAAAATTTTTTAAAGATTTTATTTATTTATTTTTAGACTGAGGGGAAGGAAGAGAGGGAGAGAAACATCGACTGGTTGCTTCTTGCACACCCCCAACTGGGGACCTGGCCCTCAAACCAGGCATATGTCCCGACTGGGAATGGAACTGGCAATTTTTTGGTTTGCGGGATGATGCCCAAGCCCCTGAGTCATTCCAGTCAGGCTTCCTTCCTTCCTTCCTTCCTTCCTTCCTTCCTTCCTTCCTTCCTTCCTTCCTTCCTTCCTTCCTTCCTTCCTTCCTTCCTTCCTTCCTTTTGTTTATTATTTATTATTAGAGAGAGGGGAAGGGAGGGAGAAAGAGGGAGAGGTATGTTTCTCATTTGTGTACTGTTTATGTGGTCATTTAAGAACGACTTGTGGCAGCAAGTTGCTGTTTAAATAAAAAGTTTTCTTGAAATTAAGCTATGTTATTTCCCTTTGAATATTTGAATATTTGATATTGTTGGTATTTTTGAGTGTTTTTTAACATTCAAATGTATATGTTGTGTAACTATATTAGCTCTGATCAAACATGTTACTAATATAATCTGATATCATTTGAGTATTTAAATAAAAACTTTAAAATAAAAGTGCTCTTTCAGATACTTTAATTAGAACATCTATACTGTTTTGTGACTTGTTTAGTCTTTTAGTGTAGTTGAGCAAGAAAAGGCATTTGAGATAATTTCTTGAACTTTAGAAACAAAGAATTTTAATTTGTCTCAAGAGTTGCAGCTTATTTGTGAGCTAGTGCAACCTGAAGTAGGAAAAGGTAGCATATTTTGTTTTTTACTCTTGGAAAATATGATGTTTATTTTTCCAGATATTTATCCTTTGTCAAAACATTTCTTTTTAAATATGAGGCAAGAAATATATTGGTACTTGAGTATGTGGGGCTAAAAAGCAATTCCTTCTAGATAACAGCAAAAAATATGTGTTAGCTTCAGTTTCCATCTAGGATAGCTATTTGTCATACAGTTCTGTTTTTGAAAAAGAGAAATCCTTATTGTACAAGACAATACTACTGACCTTTGGCAGTAGACTTTCATCAGCAGTGTGACTAGGTGTGTGCTGTCGGCACAGTATTGGGCCAAACTGAAGATCTAGTAGGGAATTGAAGTAATTAATCCTTATCTATGTTTAAACAATAACATTGATATTCTTGAAACTCCATTTTTGAAAATAAAAAGACATGAATAATTTCCTGCATTTTACATTCTTGGTTATCAAAACTGAACATGAGCCCTCTTTCTACAGATGTGAGCATGCTCTGACCTGGCAGTTTTGGAGTAGTGTGCCATTGTTAAGAAGGGCTTATTGTACATTAATGAGACAGCTCTATTAAATAGACCAGTGTGTCCATGTAGCCCCCAATTTTCATATTAAAAAACAAACATTCACTATTAGACCTTCTTATCTCTGATTATAAAAATATTACATGTTGATTATATAAACTTTGAGGAAGTAGAAATATAAAGGAGCAAGGAAAGAAATTACCTATA